ATTATGATTTTTTTTTGTTCTCTTAATTATGAGATATTTTTATTAGGGCTGTCAAGTTAACGGGTTAATACATTTTTTTTTAACGCCACTAATTATTTTAACGTGCGATTAACACACGTGTATTTGTCCTCGGCCCGCCCCGTAGTTTCAGAGCCCAAAGGCTTGATGTTGTTGTTGTTGTTGTTAGTTGTATGGTGGGAGATTATAGCGAGAGATATGGATACAAAAAAATGTGTGCAAGCCAAGCACACAGCTGATGCTCAGCCCCGCTCCTGCCGCTCGCTCGCGGCAGACCACGCTTGAAAGTTTGCCGGGGAGACGCCTGGACAACACCAGCGATAGCTAAATGCTTAACGTTGTGGAGGACGAGGGGCTGCGTGAGATCATTCGGATCGCATCCAACGTGTCGACTGCACATCACAGCGCATTGTTTTGACCCACAGTGGGAACCTCAGTCTCATGCTTTGACTGTTATGAAGACAGAGGAGCGGCATTTCGCCGACAACTGTAAACAGGGAGAGAGAGAGAGAGAGAGAGAGAGAGAGAGAGAGAGATTCCAGATTGTTGTGTTGAAAATATTCAGGAGGATATTTGTCATTGTTCAAATGATAATAAACAAAAATTTGCATCAAAACATATTTGTCCACTCATATGTTGATAAGAGTATTAAAAACTNAGAGAGAGAGAGAGAGATTCCAGATTGTTGTGTTGAAAATATTCAGGAGGATATTTGTCATTGTTCAAATGATAATAAACAAACATTTGCATAAAGCATATTTGTCCACTCATAGGTTGATAAGAGGATTAAAAACTTGAAACTCCTCTCAGGTGAATTTAGAACAGATGAAAAATGTGCGATTAATTAGCGATTAATCATCGCGACTATTTTAATCGACTGACAGCAAAATTCCGTTTGTTTTTTTCCTCCGATTTTTACGCCTGATTGTTGTTGTTTTTTTTTCTCATAAAAAAATTAATCTTACTTTTTTTTCTCTTGAGAAACATTTCTGAATTTATTTTTCCAAATTCTTAAATTACTTTTATTTGTTTTTTTGCTCAGAAGTTTGACCTTTGTCTAAAAACCTGAGATAAACAGAATTTTGAGATTCAAGATTATTTTCGACTTTTTAATCAAATCTGAGAAATCTGAGTTCGACTTTCTTCTGTAAATGTCGACCTTTTACCCAAAGTCGTTTGACATAATTGAATACATTGTATTTGTTTAAAAACTGCTTTTTCCAAACACATTTTTAAAGGGGGCGTTGTTAATGAAAGTGGGTGTGGCCTCACCTCGTGATGCACATCACCACGGCGACGATGATGGCGATCTGCACGGCTCCGATGATGGCGGCGATGAGAACGTAGTGAAGCTTCTGACCGCTGGGAACCACGTACAGGATGTTGAAGTCCTGAGGGTCCTCACACTTAGTCCCCTTATAACCTGCATCACATCTGACACACACACACGTTAGCATAGTCCACAAAGCACTAAGCCATATGTTCATCTATCTTCACATGTTCTCTGGCGTGATGACGTTTAGTCGACACCTCGACTACATGTTTAAATATCTTGAATTTGAATCAGCCCCTGCATAGGTGTAATTACCTGCGTAGGTGTGTTTAAGAAATAATTCATTTCTTATTCTAAAAGTTACTTAACTGCATGTAATTGTAATTGTATCTTTAATTGTATTAATCTTTAATCTTGTGTGAATCTGTCCTGTTTTTCAATCTCACCCTGTTGCTGTTTGAATACTGAATTTCCCCATGGGGATTAATAAATGTCTCTTATCTTATGTTATCTTTTTTTACCTGCAGTACGTATAATTAGTGTATTTACCTGCAGTACGTGTATTTACCTGCAGTACGTGTATTTAGTGTATTTACCTGCAGTAAGTATATTTAGTGTATTTACCTGCAGTAAGTATATTTAGTGTATTTACCTGCAGTACGTGTATTTACCTGCAGTACGTGCATTTAGTGTATTTACCTGCAGTAAGTATATTTAGTGTATTTACCTGCAGTAAGTATATTTAGTGTATTTACCTGCAGTACGTGTATTTACCTGCAGTACGTGTATTTACTGTATTTACCTGCAGTAAGTATATTTACCTGCAGTACGTATATTTACCTGCAGTACGTGTATTTACCTGCAGTAAGTATATTTACCTGCAATACGTGTATTTACCTGCAGTAAGTATATTTACCTGTAGTACGTGTATTTACTGTATTTACCTGCAGTACGTATATTTAGTGTATTTACCTACAGTACGTGTATTTACCTGCAGTACGTGTATTTACCTGCAGTACGTGTATTTAGTGTATTTACCTGCAGTACGTGTATTTACTGTATTTACCTGCAGTAAGTATATTTAGTGTATTTACCTGCAGTACATGTATTTACCTGCAGGTGGCCATGTTGTACTTGATTTCACATTTCCCGTGAACACAGAATCCGTTGTAGCTCTCGGCGCAGGGGATCGGCATCCCGGCGTAGAAACCGTCTCCGTGGTCCACACCTGTGGTCTCTGGAAAACAATAACACATGGTTTCTTTTGATTCATTTAAATAATGTTTTGATTCATTATATTGGAATTTTGTTTTTTGTTTGTTTGATTTTTATTTCATCTTTACTGTTTCTTTTTTTATTTTAAAATTAAACTGTTTCAATTATTATATTTTAGTACATTTAATGTAATGTAATTATATGTAATCTGCCTATTTTATTATATGTCTTTGTAATGTTATTATATATTTTTTTTTGATTATATTTATTTTTTCGAAGAATAATTGACACCAGTTAAATTAGTCTTGCTGAAAGCTAACTAGCCTAGCTTAGCTTAAACTAGAGGGAATCCACATGAGTTAATGTGCTTTAGTGACATTCAAATAATACATTTCAATCTTTTAAATCAGATACTAATTAATTAGAGTAAAGGAACCATTTGTATTCACTTTTCCACTTCCTGAGCCTTTAGACTGTCACTGAGTGTAACTCCAGTGTGTTCTGTCTGATGGAGATAATTACACTCCTCTCCACTGCAGCGTTAGTGACGTGTTAATTACAGATTCTGCAGAGTGTGATTTTAACATCGTGGGAGTGTTTCCAGCTCTTCTCTAAAAGCCTCTCTGAGAGAAACATAATGACGGTGATTATCCTGAGAGCTTTGCATGGTTCCTCTCACAGAGGGATGATTATAACCTGACACAGAAATCATCTCTAGGCAGCATGTTGTCATGTTTTCTTATCAAAGCAACCTTTTGGTGGTGTTTTGGTTCTTGTCGTTTGTACAGAAGCTTTAAATCTCCATGTTTAATCTGTTTCCCACAATAACATGTTCATTCTGTGAGTTAACAGCTACAAATAAACTAATGCTGTCAAAATTATCGCGTTAACGGCGGTAATTAATTTTTTGAATGAATTGCGTTAAAATATTTAACGCATTTAACGCATGTGCAGAATGGCCCGCCCCATACATCCCACCAGTGGCAGCGCTGGGGTAGGCTACACCCATACCAATGAATGGCTTAGCCCCACCATGAAAAATGATGTTAAAGTAAGCAAAATAAAGTCCGCCAACTCGCGCGGAGTAAATCACACAGACAGCAGTTAGTCAGATTGATTTCAGTAGCCACTTGTCTGGAAATACCGAAGACTAGAAACGGTTTTGAAAACCTTTGTCACGTAGGGATCGTCTTCTCAATAGAACATCTTTGATCATGTCTTCTGGCCAATCAGAATCAAGATAACGGCGTGGTGTTGTTTCAGGAAGTCCCGACGGAGAATACTTTTGCTTTAGTACATCTCTATATACATCGATACAATAAGAAATAAGACCCCACGGTGTGATGATTGATAGGTGTGTGGGCTGTCTTTCATTTTGACACACAGAACAATGTTATAATAAACATACGTTATTATATATATAATATTAATTATATATACATACTGTATGTTAAATGGATGTATCCGCCTTCTTTCATTTATCTTGTCCATTCCCACAACAATATACATAAAGAAATGGCATATTTTGGACATAGTTCGAATGGTGATTAATCTGATTAATTCATTTTTAAGCTGTGATTAATCTGATTAAATGTTTTAATCGTTTGACAGCCATAGTATAATATATTATATTACATTATTATTGTATTACACACACACATTGTTTTGCTATACTTGTGAGGAACCTTGCTTTGGAAACAGCTGTGAGGACATTCTGGCGGAGAAATGCTGTGATGACCCTGAGGGCCGATGGCTCCTGTTGTTCAGCAAAAATCCTCTTCTTAAAAAGACATTGCGTATAAACGCTGTTACACTACCTGTACACATTAACCTGAAGTCGTGCATTCGTGTCGTACTCCCTCCTCTGTTTGTGTCTTTGCTGTCGTTTGGTTTTATGAATTATTTTGAAGACAGCAGAGACCTCTTGGTCACATTCCTGCAGAGGTTTATCACCAGGGAGAATTTACTCAAGAGGTGTCGGCCCTCAGGAACGCAAACTGATAGAAGACAAGACGTCTTTATTTAGAAAGAAAACACACACACACACACACACACACACACACACACACACACACACACACACACA